GCAGAGTATACAGAACATTTGTTCAAGGAAGGGCGTTTCAGGTATTGTATTTAGTGAGAAATGCCCGCCAGTTTTGCTTTTTCGTTGAATCTTTAGTTTTAATTCGACTTTTAGGATGTCACAATTTCGGAATTGTTAGAACTCGGCATCAAATACTACTGTTTCATTAATCCGAGGGAAAAATTGAAGAGTTCGCAACCAGATGGTGCCATTTGGATACCAGCCAACAACGGAGGATTCGTTTATTTGTACGATATGAAAGGAATGCCGCACATATATGATTGCTATTTTACCGTTGCTCATCAATCGTCGACGGCTTCAATCACTACAGGCGTGATGCCGTTCTCACTAATCACCAAGAAACACCAGTCAACCCTCAGGCAACGTCCATCTAGTGAAGATGATTCAAGAACTGAATCATTACTATCAGTGAGCCATGAAACAACAGATCAATTCAATTGTTCGATTTGCCTAGTACGAACTGTTCGTTGCATCTTTATTCCATGCAAATATATGTGTACTTGTGCCGAATGTGCTGAAAGCGTCAAAGAAAAGCTTCATTCGGTATGTCCTATTTGTCGAAAGGCATTTACAGAAGTCTGGAATGTTTTTCTATGAACAGAAGTCTGAGTTTCATTTTTCTGTTAATCATCTGTTATTGAAACATCTCGATAACATAAGAAAACAAACAAAGACATATATTTTAAAAGAATACATAGGAACATTTGAGGGCGGTTGTGAGTTTGAGTTGGATATGGGTGTGGATGGATGTGGGTATCGGCGTGGATTTCGTTATGTTTCACGTCAGCTCCGAGTCTATCGCTCATGCTCACACGCCGAAGCAACACCCGTATCAACCGTCATATTTTTCGATTAGTAACGGTAGTGAATTTGTATGATGAAGTGTCTCTGAGCGCAACTTGCAAACAGAGTGTTCCGTGTGACAGTAAAACTTCTCCTATTTTAAATTGAACGTTGATGAGTGTTGATTGAATCATAAAAAGCCATGAGAATGCCAATGAGATTTTTTCTAAAAAAATCTGATTTGTTTCTAGTACAAACAATGCGAGAGAAAAAAGCGTTATCATTCACTGTGCGCAATAAAGCAGTCAGTCACTGTCGATTTTTCATTGGAAGACAAAGACCTAGTTGAACTAATTGATCAGAGGAAAATGAATCTTCGAAACAGGAGCGTATTTCACGAGGGTCGGTCATAGCGGAGCGGGTGTCGATGTCGCAATCTATTAAGGTAATTTTGAATCTATCACACACCCCAACACCCTCTCATATTGTCATTGATCTGGGAGATATTGTTGGCTGATTATTGAGTTAATTGCAAAGTGTTCAACCGCAACGCATACGATAACGTAGAACAAAAATCAGTCAATTCAAGTGTATCATTAGCAGTTAAGTTGACGATCTGATGCCATGGAACGATGGATGGCAAGTATGGAGGGGGACGGCCAACCAGCTCAGGATGACAACTCGTGTCAAAGATTACTCTGGTGACGCGTGGAAAGTAATGATCCGGACGACAAATTACATCCGGCCACTGATCGTATCTAGATTTAATCCAATCAATGTGCATCTTACTGAACAACTATTCGTACAACACTTACGCCAACACTGTATCGGCGCTAAGATAGGTTGTCAAATCTAAGTCGCGGCATTTCCGTGACAGCGTGTATACACAAAGTTCACGCTCGTCTAAAAATGGTTCTATATAATGTGATTTCCATTGGTATGTAGCCTCTCAGTTGTCGAAATGTATTGAGTACGATGGTGCTGGTTATTGATTGTCCCATAGCTATCGGTGCGGTGACTAGATATAATCTGGTGCATAATTATAGACCACTTGTTTTCAAATTGAACTAAATAAAATGAGCGATATTTTTAGTGATTTCACATAAGTGAATCATAAGACTAGCGATATAAAATTTTCAAGCGGGTTTTTTTAATTTTCTTATATATATATATATATATATATAATTGCCTGCTCTTTTGTGGTGCATAAATATAGAACCACATGATAGGTTAATAATATTAAGTGAATCATCAGTGACTTTGAATAAAATTAACAAACAGGATAACACTCATGTTTAAGTTATAGCATGCCCAGAGCAATGCAACTAACGGAGAGCGAAAGAAGATCTATTTTAGGATTACACAAGAAATATATATCTCATCGAGAAATTGTCAGGAAAATTAATCGATCGAAGACAGTGGTAACAAATTTTTTAAAACATCCACTTAAATATGGCTTGAGAAAACGAACTGGTCGAAAAAAAAAAGTCGATGAATGTACCAAAACCCTTATTATTAGAACTGCTAGTAACAAATCAATATCTTGTGCCAATATTATTAACGATTTATGCTTAAAAATGTCACGATGGAGAATCAATCGACTTATAAAAGGCCAAACATCTTGAAAAAGATGAAAAAAAGCACTCTCCTGCTTTAACAACAGCTCACAAAGATTTACGATTAACTTGGGCTAAGGTTCATATGACTTGGAACAATGAATGGCACAAAGTTGTTTGGTCTGACGAAAACAAAATTTAATTTAGATTATCCTGATGGGTTTTCTTACTACTGGCATGATCTCCGAAAAGAAGAAGAGATTTTTTCAACTCGTTCTCAAGGTGGTGGTATCGCTGTGATTTGGGCGTCGTTTGGTTGGGGTGGTAAAAGTTCAATATGCTTTGTAGACGGACAGATGAACTCAAAATGATATTGAAAGGTGCTTAAAAAAGCATCTGATTGATATCGGTAGTTGTATTGGTGGGTCTAATTGGATCTTTCAGCAACACAATGTACCTATTCATCGAGCGAAGGTCAATCTCACTGGGCTTAAGTCGTAGATAATCAATGTTTTACCTTGGCCATCATTGTCACCTGATTTAAATCCAATTAAAAATCTCTGCGGAATACTAGCAAGAAAGGTCTATGCCGAAGGTAAACAATTTAAAACAAAAGAGCACTTAAAAACTACCATCATTAAATCTTGGGAAGAAATCAACATCGAACAACTCCGGGCTCTGGTCGAATCGATGCCGGAAAGAATATTTGAAAGTTATTAAGTTAAATGGAGCCAAGCAAAAATATTGATATTTGTTTTCTTTGGTGTTTTTGCATTTTTTTAATATGGTCTTATATTTTTGCACCATTAAAATTCATGAAAAATCAGTAACTAAGGAAAAAAAGAAATGAACCTTTGGAAATCTAGCAAAGAGAAAATTATGTTATGATAACTCTAGTTCCAAATAATAAGTTTTATCTGATTATTTTAAGCTCTAAAGGAAGTGGTCTTATAATTATGCACCAGACTGTATGTACAAAGATCCAGCGCGTACGAGCATTAAGCATACAACAGTGATAATAATTCGTGGACGACTTCATTATTGAGATGTTCTGCTTCCAACGAGAAATGTGTGAGATGAAAGAAAGCCATCATGATTGAATAATTGAGTTGGCGTTTCAAGTTCAAAATGGCGACCTTTCTGATAATTGTTCCAGCGGATCTTCAGGCGGCGCCAATTGCAAACGCGAGGCCGACCAATAGGAGTACTTTGTCTAAAAATATGTATAATTTAGTTTCATAGTCACTGCAATTAGAAATCAATGACTCTATTTAAAATGAGTTGACCGTTCAAAAGAACTTCATTAATCATCTACCTAAAACCTCTTGTTCCAACGCTTCATACATCAAAACAAGATGTTTAAATTAGTTTCTTATCGCATATGAAATGAGTGATTACGTTTTAGAGCAAGAACGCTGGACCACCCCCTTACAGACACTCTCACTCATAAATAGTCTAAAAAAAGGTTAGACTAGCCCTGCCATTTTCTATTAATCTCTACGAAAAATAGATTAAACTCTGCATCATTCCACCAATTCCAATAAACGTGTGATTTTCGCATCTCAATCCCATACCCTAGTCAACTCTCCCTAGAAGAATCCCCAGGAAGTCCCTACGGATTTCGTTCTTCTGCGGGGGCTCACCGGGGAGTCGTCGGGGGAGAGTGGATTAGGGAAAGATTAGATATGATGAATGTCCAAAGTCAAAGCCATATTGATGTGCCAATTCATCGAAATGTATTGCCTTGAATCGACTACTCGATGGCTTTCCCGATTGTTTTCCAGAAGATGACGAACAAATTACAAATAGTAGTTCGCTGCCCGATATCGATTATCGCTTTCGATGCCTCTCGGATAATAAGTGCACTCCTATTACTAGTGTTCAAAGCCGCCAATTGATGTGCGTAGATGGAGCAGATTTGAAACGTCCATACGATCTAAATCAAGTGATTTTTCATTTGCCATTCACAACGCTTTGTGATGGTCTTTGTCGAGCATAATAGAATCGATGGACTTGTAACAATGTATATACAAAATGTAATTGGATATGGAATTGTCGAAATGCAGCCAATGAAGCGAACTGTTCTAATCATCCATGCCATCCAGATGGTCTTCCTTGTATATTGTCATTTGGTCAAAATTTTACTTGTTTACCTCTGTCAAAAATCAATGGCGGTCATATTGATTGTATAGGGGGCTCTGATGAAAAGAATCGCTGTGACCAATGTTAAACTTTGCTACGCACTCCTGACACAGAAAACTGTGCATCGAATGATGATCAAGATCTATGGTGTGGAAATCGTTCAAATGCATTATATTGGTCGCATAATAACATTGCTTCTCAGACATTCTACAAATTTGACTTAAGTTGGTATGCTCCAAATCTACTCGAAGAGCAATATAAGGATTCGTTTGTCTATTTTACATTGAAAAATGATTTCGTCTATCCTTGTATTAAGGAAACAACTAGCGAATACAATTTTGAGTGTGGGTGTGCTGGTATGGATGAGCATTCCTTAATGCACACCACCCACAACCACACCCCAGTGATATATGGAGTGTCGATAATTCATTACCATTTATAATGAATATACTTTTAGCTAATATGTTCTCATTATTAGGCACGCTTGTATTATCTTGTTATGGTTTACCTCAATTTCTAATTGTTCTTGTTCTATTTGACTACTTTAAAGTTTTTCATACAGGTTAGAATGAAATATGAGACTATATTTCTAACGTAAATTTAACTTTTTAGAATTAATATCGTTGGACATCACGTAAAATAAAGTGAATATCATCTGATCTGTAGCTTTATCACCTATTTATGCTCATTTTGGTGAGACAATATTTAGTTTATCAACAATTCGTGCATTTCGTCCTATAACACATTTTGTTGAACATAATTTTGTCTTAGTATCAAATAGTATTCGTCCACAATCTTCATCCCTTGCTGATAGTTCATGGCTTAATTTTCGTCTTCAACTTATTAGTATTATCATAGTTGCTGGTATATCATTAATTGGTGTTATTGAACATGTCTATGCAATACCAGGTTCAAATCCAGCATTAATTGAACTTTCTTTATCATATATTCTACCACCTACTTGTCTTCTTAATGGATTAATACTGAGTTTTACAGAAACAGAAAACAATGGTTGATGTTGAATGTGTTACTGCACATATTGATAATTTACCAATAGAAGAAAATCGAAAAGCAATTTGTCATTTTAAATAAACAAAGACAACAAAAACGGATCAATAATTGAATATCGACATGTTACAATGAAATATAATATTTATCAAAAATCAGCACTTGACGATGTAACATTTCAAATAAAATCTAATGAAAAAATTGGAATTTGTTCGACTAACACGTTAGAAAAATTAAAAATAACATGATTGATATACATATCTTCTTTTTTTAAAAGGCTCGGATAAAAGTAGTTTATTAGCAACATTATTTCGTACAGTAAATTTGTATGATGGACAAATTTTAATCTATAATATTAATACGAAAATTATTGAACGTCCGATACTTCCGTAATAATAAATATTGATTTATGTTTTTGAATATGTTGCTTATTTTTTTAGACAAACTTTCGGGTGTCGATGTGTAGGCCGTGAGTGGGTTTGGATCTTTGTTTCAGACACAGCCATAGCTGTACCCGCACCCACACCTTTGTATATATATATATATATATATAGAGTGGGAAAATAAGAGAATGACGGAAGTGACAGAGAATTATTCGACATGGACATTTTAAATAACAACAATATTAATATACTCGATCTGCCAGATGAAATATTACGTACTATTCTCAATAAACTAAATATGGTCGATATACTCTATTCATTAGTAGATGTAAATCAACGATTTGATCGATTAGCGCTTGATTCTCTTTATATACATCATCTCGACTTGGTGATCAAACGAGATGATATTCATAATTCTTCGGTAGATACTCACATTATAGAGAGAATTTGTTCCAAAATCTTACCTCGAATTAATGATAAAGTAACCAAATTTACTCTCGAACCACTTTCTGTCGAACGTGTTCTTGGTACTATCCATTATCCTCAACTGCATTCGTTATCATTTGTTAATTTTCAACCAAAAATACTCTCACAACATTTATTAGGTATAGCGATGAATTTTATTTGATATCATCAATGATTGATACTTTTTTCTTTACGTTTAAGATAAAACCATGATACGTCTTCTTGAGAATCAAATAACACATATCACTGTCGATGTCAATATTGACAATGTCGAAATGCCTAATAGAAGTGAACAAAATGCGTTTCTAGTCATACTATTAGTTAGTAAATGTTTAAGTGATTTAACCTATCGTCAAACATCCTCAGAAAAATATATAACAATTTTACCTTCAAATATTTCATATACACATTGTTTATCTTCAACCCTTACTAAATTGACAATAAATGTTAACACTTTTGATGATTGTCTTTATCTTCTTAATGGATGTCTTCAATCATTATCTACGCTGATTATCCGTATTAGTAAAATAGACCGTTCATCATCAATGATAGATAATACCGTAAGTATAAATGTGATTATTGAATGGAAATAAATTTGTTTTTGAAATTAGTTATTGATTATTTAATTTTCTTTAGAAAAAACTTGTCAAATTGAAATGTTTTTCATTAATAACAGATTGGCGCACATGTTATTACGACCAACCAGTTGTGCCGCTACTTCGTCGGATGCTAAATCTTGAAGAACTAACATTATTTCTCTCAGTAGTAAGACCTATATGCACTTATATAGATGGCAATCAATTATTTGATAAAGCTCTTAATTATATGCCACGACTGAACAAATTTATCTTCAGTATAAACACTTGCATTATCAACGATGACATTGGAATAGATCGTCCATCAAATGATGACATTCGAAATAGTTTCACTGAAAGAGGAATTCAATCATTTGATATATGTTTTGATGATAAATTCATGAATAGCCAAGGCAATTGTCATGTTTATTCTCTTCCATATCAATTCAACGAATTCTTATTTATGAGTAACTGTTTTCAAGGGGGAAGATTTGATACAGTTCGATTGTTATCAATGCGTGACGAACGGCCATTTGAACATAAATTATTCCAAATCATCTCTCAAGACTTTCCTTTTCTTCGACAATTGATTATACGTAATGATATACCACAAAAAAATGGACAACATCATTCGTGTACATTGATTACATTTAATCATCTTTTGGCACTCGATATTCTCAGTGTACACAATGACTGTGTGATATAGTTTCTTTCTGATAAAATAACTCGTCTACCTTGTTTGACAAATCTCATAATTGAATACGAAACATTAGCAAGAATGACAAACTATTTTACTAATGATACAACACGTCTCAATTGTACTAAAATAAAATCTTTAGTTACATTTGAACTACTTGTTCCGTTTGAACACTTCTATTCATATTTTCCTTCTCTGTAAGTATTATTCTCTTCTGTAAATCATTTGAATAAAAACAAATGCGATGAGAAAGTCAAAATATATTTCAATCATAATAAATAACAAACTACTGCCATGCATGATCGATTACATTCTACATATTTAATGCCTAGAATAACAATTCAATAAAATAAAAGAAATAAGATTCAAATAATTGAATATGTGTTCTAATTTTTGAAAAATGTTAAATCGACGGACACATTACACTATAATAAATGTTGATAAACGATAATTTCATTATAGAGATTTATAGAGATCAATCTATTCTCAACTATGACCGGTTTAGTTGACACATCGAATAACAGTATCGTACGAGCGAATTAAAATCATTTGCAAACACGCTTATGCAAAGTCAAGCAATGTCACGCCTAGATTGACTTATGCCTTCATCTTTCGACAAATCTAATTACACAATAAGGAAATCTGATTTAGCTTTTCATACGAGTGCGAATAAAAAACAATTAACATGATATATTAATATTTGTTCACTCAGATTCAATAATATCATTTCATGGAAAGTATATGAACAGTAATCGAACATGAATATTACTAGAGATTGTTCTTACGTTAGAAGTCATGTTTCACTATTAATAATTTCTTATTTCAAACTTTAACGTTTATTATGTTAGTATAATTCGTTGAAAATTTACTTTAGTTTAAATTAACTTGTTATAAGCGAATTTTTTTTTAATGCAACACTCGAAAAAACACTTGATTCAATAATTAACATGATGAATGTGTCTCGATGAAATCATATTATCAACATTAATAGAGACATACTTGCGGTTATAAAATACGCATTGCAACAAAATAAGAAGTGAAAGATAGAAATGATGAGAACATAGTTTTCAAGGAGACTCTTGTTAACGAAATATATGACTAGAACAATGAACCACTTTGTAACGAGTTTCAAATTTGATTATATGTACTATTGATGCAAAACCAAAGCAATAAGTCATTTCGTGAAATACGCTAGAATTATCCATTTTAACTATATTTTAATGACAAATTCTGAATATTCACTAATAGATTAAAATTAATAGATGAAGACGCAGATCGATTTAATGCAATATTATTTATTTTTTGTTTCTCGTGAAGATACAACGTCTATAAAGGGCTTTTTTTTGAACGAGAGCAAAACCATTTTATTGAATATATATGAATAAATTTCTTCTTCAATGAAGTTTCGTTCAATTTTTCTATTGGTACATTCAATTCAACCACTGATTTTGTTACCAAATGTGCTCCGGTTTTTCTTCTTTCGTCTTGTCAATTCATCATCAAGATATCCTACGTTGATTTCACTTGATGTACCATGAGTTTAAGGTGATTTAGGATGATTTAATATGATTTTTTTGATTTAATTATGATTTTTATCTGAGTTAAATCAGCTTTTCCCCTCTTACATCTACCACTATCAACATCATCGAATGATGCCCATAAAAAATTTTCGACAAAGAATTCCTATCACGAAAATGCGACGATCTAAACAGCTCCTAATCCATCATAACCTTGCTTGAATTACCAAATTTCAAAAAGCAAACAACGCCACCGTGTTCCCCTACTCTGATTACCTTCGCTCAAACTTTATCGGAAGTTTCCATACATGGGGCCAAAAAAAGTTTTTTCGTTCTGTACTAACGAACGAATGCAGTCAACTCGTTTTGGCGTAAGACCCTGCCATGTAGGCTTTTTCGGGTTTCAAAAATTTTTTTTTAATATGAATCTGAAAATCATGATGCCTACAAAGTTATTTTTTACATGGAATTTGTATTGTCGTTTTTTCTTTTTCATCGTATGAAGCGCACATTTCAGCGGATTGAAAAGAACGCTTCTCTCACCGAAGTAAGAAACTTAAAAGGTTGTCTTTGCTTTTTTAACTACTGAAAAAGGGTTATTTTATCAAAGCAAAAATATAAGTAAGTTGAAAGTTATGAAAGAACAAAATATCTAGCACACAGCATAGAGAGTAATAGAGTTTGTGAGATATCATAATATATTTTGTAATGTTCTGACTGCTTAATGTCTCCATGAATATTGGATACAGAAGCCGGGTACAGGTAAACAACTCTCATTTCAATGGGTTCAATTATAAATACAAAAGACTGTACCCATTTAGTACTCTGATTTCTAGTATTATGGACTTAGAAAAAACAATCTACAATGTTATTTCGTTGTTTACTAAGTATATAAGTTTGTTGTGTTAAATATTTAAAACTCCTTCATTTTTCTCAAAAGGTTCTATTTATAAGTTAAAAGCGCATAAGCCAAAATGAACTTAGGATAAAACTATTCTTTGGATGCTCAATGTATTCTTGAATATATGAGCTCAAAGACAATGAAATATCTATATAGAAGTTCAATGACTCATGATTCCATTTTATTTTTCCTGTCAGATGAGTAATAAGATCATTGGTAACACCACATGTCCTGACCAAAGCACAGTGTTGCTAACAGTGATAATGATCTGCACCTCGCACAAGAATCTTCTAAATTTTATGAAGCTTGAATTACTAGAAGAGAAGAAAAATTCAAATTTATGTGCAAAAGCCTTTTTGCCCGCTCTCACAAGCATGACTAAATTGTCTTCCTCCATCGCAACTTCTTTGCAGGCGTTTGTTAAGATCGTTTTTTTTTGAATGAAACTATTCGACAATTGACCACTATCGCTATAACTAATACAAACGGATTAGCTCTCAATTATTCATTTTATTTAGATTTCATATAAATCAATACACAAAAGACTTGGCAACTGGTGTCTTTAATATATTAGCAATAACAGTAAAATGTCGAGTGATGAAGGAATTTTTGCTGACAACCTGGCAAAGATATGTGTACTCAAAGAAAGATCGCTTGAAGTAGATTCGAAAAAGTCTGTTTTCGATTCTGTCTACCACGTTCTTATTGAATTTTTAAATCTTATTAATGCAGATAAACATGATTTTCATTACAACGTAGCAGCGAAAAAATGTTTGGAACTACTCATAAAATCAATTGACAATATTGACACAGACAAATTATTCGAGAGAGACCCTATTTATGCACTGGAAACAGTTTATGTATACCTTAATTTACTGAATTTACCTGGCATTAAGACTTATTTAGCACACCGCACGATCAATGAACAACTCTACGAAAAATACATTCTTCCTTCCATCATCTTCAAAGTTCTAACATCAGCAACAAAAGCTTCCCATTTTTCTGTTCATGATTCACAAAAACTCAATGATTACAATGAAACTTTATCTCTAATATTGAATTGTGTACAAACTGAACTTTACAGTTGTACTACATCGAATTATTCTGAAACAACAACATCAATCTTACTTTTTGTTTGTACCTACTCCGGTAAAACTATCCTGATACCAGATTTAATTAAAGCTGGCTTTGTTAAAGTTGTCGCTGAATGTCTGAAAAAAGTACACGAGTAAGTTATTTTTCATTTCCTCGAAATAGTAATCTGTAATGAAAATTTGAAATTTCATTTTTTTTAAGACTTCATGATCGACAATCAACTTTATTAATCAGCATTATTGATAATATATGTCACCATGAAGATGGAATAAGCGCTCTCAACTCACTTCAAGCATTGGAATTTACAAAAGAAATGCAGAATGTTGATAATTTAATGAATGAGGATGACATAGAGAAAATAGTTCTCGTTCGTATGACCTTAGCTCTAGGCAGAACATTAGAACAACTGGAAAACGATCGTACATGTACGAATGATGCCGTTGATCATCTACTTCAACTCATTAGTGCAGCTGAGCAAAGTCAAAATTATTGTCACAATGGATTGCATCTTAGTGAACTGTTAATTTTTCTAATGATATTAATTAGCTACAAACGACCACTTGAACACCTTCTTGAACATTCACAAGCAAAGTTCGACAATAAAACGCAATCAACTACTCACTTCTTTATCACATCATTTCTAAAATTTCATGAAAATGTCAGTAATGAAGATCCATTGAAAAGCTTAACTATGACTGCATTCTGTAACATTTTCTGGAATATTGCTCTACGTCATCAGTACCAAAACGAACTTCAAAAAGATGAAGAATTCCAAAAATTAATCGAAGACATTGCAGAAAAGAAAGAAAAATTCGCATCTCTCCAACATGTTCCAAAATTTATTGACAACATAGAAAAAGCTGCGAAAGGAATTTTGTTTAATACGAGAGAATCATTGCCAAGAGGACTCCGAGCTTTATTTCTAATTGCACGATCAAGTTCGATCAATAAGAACAGCAGTAAAAGTGACCACACAAAATCTATAGAACCAAATATTATGATTAGCTATGCTGAAGGCGATGGCGATATTTGCGCTTATTTTTATGATAAATTAGCAAAGCAAAATCTTGAAATTGATGTATGTATTGATTGGAAATATTGTAATATAGATTTTCCTTGGGAAAGAGCATTTTTGACAATGTCTAATCCAAATATCATTTTATGTTTATTATGTCAAAAGTATTATGAAAGTCATTTCGATCAACGGGAATTCATAAAACAAATATCTGACATAAATGCTATATTAATATGTATTGATAACGCAAAAATGCCTGAATGGTTATCTCAAGGTTTGTCTTGGTGTGCTTATGTTGTTGAGTTGTAATTGTATCTTGCTTTTTTCATAGCTATTAAGAAATATGATCTAAAAATAATTCATTTTGATAGAAGGCGATTATTAAATTCTCAACACTTCGAGATATTGAAGCGGATGATCAATGAATATTTAAAGTTCAACAAAACGAAGCGTCAAATGAATGAGTCAATTGAAGAACCTCCACAATTAAAATCAAATGAAATAATGAATCATCAAAGTAATGAGCTTCAGGAGCGAAAGATTGATAAAATTGAGTCTGAATTGGAAGATACAGAAGAAGACTTAAAGTCAAATGTTGATCATTCTGAAGCGTGTACTGAAAATAGTTCTATTGTCAGCGACACATCTTCTACAATCAGCGAAGAGACATCAAGCGATGAAGAAGAATTAGACGACGATGATCTTATTACTGATAAAGACGTTTTCTCTGATGTTTTAACAAAGATATATGATCTAAGAAAAATTTTACCTAAAGATGATCTGGAAAAGTCTGAAGAAACTATGAAGAGATCTGACGAAGAGTTAAAAGCATCTGAAGAAGCTTCGAAAAAATACAAAGAGCAATTGCAGAAATCTATACTTCGCGATGCTTATTCTATTGTTGTTGAACTGATTAGCTTATTGGAAGTGTATGAAGGTGACACGGAAACTTTAACGACGGTTGAAAATGGTTTGCAACTGCTTGCAGAATCAATTAATTATGCAGATGTAACAGCATTATTTAGAAAAGATCAAGTTTTTTCTCGAGAAACATTTTATTTATATTTGAATTTATTTAAATTATCTGGAATGAAAAAATATTTAACACGTGACCCTATTAATGCCAATATCAAAATGTTCTACGAAAAGTATATTTCTACTTGCTTCAGTTTAGACTTGCTGGTTGACTCCATCCGAACTCTGAACGTCACTAACGACGATCTAAAACAATTGAATGGTTATAATGATAGCTTAACTCTATTGTTGAATTTCGTAAAGGCTGAATTTGATAGCTGGACGATGCCCACATGGAAACCTGAATATTCAGAGACAGTATCTTCAATTTTAATTTTTTTCTGTAATTATGCCGATAAAACAATATTAATACCGAACCTTATTGAAATCAACTGCGTAGAAAATATATCGCAATGGTTAACCAAACTCCTTGAGTAAGTCTGTGTTAGAATGAATTTGTGGATAGAATATAATGATTAAAAATTCGGAGATCGAGTTAACTTCAACATTTTTATTCAACTTTTATCTTGAAGATCGTCAAAGTTACAGCGAATTCACCCCTTAAAAACAAACTAAAAGCTAGATGTAGTGTTAGTCATCTATATGTCTGAAAATTGCTTTAAATATCCATATCAATGTAGAGACTTTAGTTTTGAAAGTGAAATGATCCAATATCTTATTATATTAGTAGCAGATTGAGAAGTTGTTAGAACAAATTTTCAATTATTTTTGCAAACTATGGTAGTTTCAAAAATATTGTTTTGTCTAAAGGCTTTAAACTATCGGATAAAAAAGAAAATGATCTAATCTTGCACTATTTATTGCATTGTTTAAGGTACGAAGGACAAAAACCAGATTGTTTTCAAGTAAGTTCATCAAAATTTTTGTGTGAAAAACGAGAGTCTTTTTTATTACCTTGTTTTTCAAGGCTCAAAAAAATAAGCGCCAAGCCGCTACACCGCTGATCTATACCATGTACAATATTAGTCGTCATGACGATGGCATAATAGATCTTAATTCACATCAAGCCGCCGATTTAATGACAAAATGGCACCAGGATAATTGTTTTGAATGCCCAAATAACGTGAAGATACACTGTCAAATGACTCTAGCTCTTCTAAGTACACCTGATCAAATAAAAAATGATCGCAAACGCATAAATCATGTCCTCGATATATTACTAGAGAAGGTCGTAATAGCCTCACAATATACCAGCTATTGTGACAAGAATGGGACGCACATTAGTGAACCGTTGATTGTTCTTGTGAAACTGATTAACTATGATCGAACTCTTGATTATATTTTGCAACATTCACAGGTTGATTTTGACGATGAAAACACGCCAGCTACTCAATTTTTAATTAGATTATTTCTAAAATTTTACAAGGATGTACCCGATGATGATTCTTTGAAAGAAACCACTAACGCGGCATTACTTAACATTCTTTGGAGTGTTTCTCTTCGACAACGATATAAACGAGAGCTTCTGGAAATTCCGGAGTTCATAAAAATAGTCAAAGAAATAGCCAATGAGAAAATTTCTGATACGTCTCCTCACTATGTACCCAAATACATTGAAGATATTCGAAAAGCAGCCGATGGCATTATTTGTAATATCAGTGAAACTCCAAATGAATCTGAGACGTTACAATGTCGAGATCTTTCAGCGTTACAAACTTGTGGTATGAAAGTTAATTCGTCTCCAATCGACAGTAGCAGTGACAAAACCTTAAAACCTTCAAAACCAAGTATTATGATTAGCTATTCACATGCTGACTACGACTTCTGCACTGAACTTTACAAAGAATTAGACAAGAAAAATGAAATTTTTGATATTTGGATTGATAGGAAATATTGTACTACAGGAAATCTCTGGGAAAGAATTGCTGATGGTATAGTTAATTCAAGTGTCATTCTTTGTTTATTAAGTCAAAAATATTATGAAAGTAAATCGTGTCAACAAGAATTTTTTTATGTATTTAATAAATTGAAGAAAAATGTAATACCAATATTTATTGGACGGTCGAGTCCACCTAATCATATGGGTAAGATTAGCAAATTCATATTAATCTTCAAAGTATCTGAAAAATCTGTATCTTCTTTCTTAGAGCTTCTTATGTGTATGTCCAAATATGTTCGATTCAATCAAATGTATCCATTGGAACCGAAGTCATTAGAAGAACTAATGAACATGATCAATGAGTTTCTTTCATTGAATGAAACAAAAAGCAAAAGTTCTATAAAAGAAATCTTGTCGTCGTTTCCAGTTCATTATGAAGTACCAACTGAGAAAAATAATCAACCACTACTACGATGTAACATGAATAATACAAGGTTTATATTGAAACTATTGAAATAATACTTTTTTTTGTTAGAAAATTAAACAAATCTCTAATGTGCAAAAGTTTCCTTCTAATGGTCAATTTTGTCTTTCTAGTATAATAGCAACAACGGTGTCGACAATTGATCTCTCTCAAAAGCCCATTGCTGAATGGACCAAAAATGATGTTTCTGTGTGGTTTCAGCAGAATAAAGTTCTATCAGAAATTTGTGATCTGTACGATTTTGAAGATGGAAACGAACTATTAATGTATGCTTATCGTGTTTCAACAGAAGAAAAAGCAAAGTGTGAGTATCAAATTTATTCTCAAGCATTTGCCCAAGCAAACGCTGGTAAAATAATGGTTCCACATAAATTCACTCGATTTGTCAATGCTGTAAGCAAACTTTATCAGGAAAATGGCAACGCGAAATCACTGGCTACTCCTACAAGTGACAGAACCAAGCCTCCGATAAGACATATATCACGAATTCCAAGAAGATCGATACCAATGTCGGAACAATAGATATAAAACAAGACGAGGAGATTAACATTGCGTTTAAGCAAACACTTTTAAAAGTTTGCCGAACATTTTTCATGAAGCGTTTTTTTTTATATGCCTTCTATAATAAATCAAAAATTGAAAATGGTTGGTGTGTTAAAATAGAGAACTGAATTCAGATCAAAGATCCAAACGAACGTGAAAATCTTCATTCAGATTAAACTCACAGAATAGACGCCATTGTTTTTCCATGAACCACTTACCGCATATGCTCTGATATTATCTTCTTGGCAAGGTGTTACTTTTCCCATCTTTGATTTGGTCAAATACTTTTAAACTTCATTCAGTTTTTTTGAAAAGAAAACCTAGACGATACTACATGGTATAACATGAGTCGTAAAGGCTCGATATTGATAAACACGAGAACAATAATAACAATTGACACTTGAGAAATTAGAATTTCCTAAGCAGAAAGCTTCTTCCAAGACTGCGTAAGCAAAAACTCATGAATAAGAAAATCAGTCAGAATACTTTATACTAAAAGGATTAGCGCATGGATTTACAATATCTAATTGCAACTGTTGGTGATTATATAGGTTTATATTCAAATGAAAGGACAGGGGCGTATAAGATACCCTATCGGCCCGTTCCGATTTTTTCAACTGAACCTAGTCAAATTACATATGAAATGAAGCTGCCGTTGATACCAGCATTTTGCTACTAAATCTGTCACGAAAAAAATGACTTTCAAAAATATTATGGACACTAACAAAATTTGACTGTTTCTCTTGAAAAGAGCCTCCCATTTTCGGCACAAATATATCACAATAGAACTGTTCTCATATTGACCAGTCCATAGACATTTTTACACGCTACACAATAGGATGATTACGAGAGCCAAAAAACATTGGCCACTTAAAGATGTGCACGTTTTTTCCTACTCTCTATGGAATTAGGTCCTGAAAGACTATAGTTGTTGTAAAAAATGATATTATATTCGGAATCAGCATAAAATACTGAGTGGGTTTAACTGCATTTCAAATCTTTTCGAGTAATTAAATTTTCGTCGAAAAAATTCCGTGTACTCTCCCTCAAGGTTGGGTGAAAAAAATTTTTTCATCAGATTAACGTTCTGCTATTTCGAGTTCTAATATTATTTTATGTGTTTCAGTATTGAACTAGAACACACAAATGAATTTAAATGGCAAATGGACACAAAAAAAATCGAAATTTTAAAAAATCTTGCAAAACCAGTTCAGAAAAAAACATTAAATACTTCTTTAACAATGTCGCATTTATTTACAAAGCACATCAACATAAAAAAATGAAAAATGAAATATATTTTTTAATCCAATTCAATGTTAGAACAGTTACTAGTCGCGTTCCATTTGATTCTCTGACTTGTACCTCTGGTAATACCCAATTCCTTCCTAGTCTTCGACAAAGATTTAAATAAATATCGATTGCAACGTAATGCAACTGTTTTCGAAATCGTTCAGATACACAAATATAAATATAAAATGGACATTAAATGAGAAAAAAAGATCGACTTTATATTGATTTAGAATAACCAATTCAAACTCACCGTAAAATTACATTGATAAATACATGTTAATAATGCATTAATAAAGCATATCTGTGCAACAGTTACGTAACAGACCGTGTCCAAAAGTCTTATTCAATGTATCAGTACGTAAAATAATAGTAGATGAAGTATCAAGAGAACTCTAAATAACTTCTACACGAATCATTAGTGTTAATTATGCTTCATGTCGAGGACAAACTATTGGTACTGTTTGATGAGAAAATTGTTTTAAATCCTAATAAGCTAACAATCCAAAATTAATCGTAATGAGCTTTAGAATAGCCCACATAAAAACGGTTACATGAAAAGTATTGTAATATTTTTCGTACAGAATATTGATTATTGTGCATATACCTATTCCTGTTGTAGACGATACATTTGCGTTACGGTAACAGTGCTAATGATTGTTCATTTCTCATCTTCAAAACAATCAATGGATAGCGAAACGAAAAGATAAGCAACTTGCATAGGTTACAATTGAAATCTACAAAACATTTTTCGAAACCACACAATGTCAAATAATGTGACGCAGGAGAAGGAATGGATGACTCATCGCCTGATCGGAGATCCATACTTCGACAGTAAACGAGAGGAATAGTCATCAAGCAATCATTGACAGAAATGTTTTTTCTACTATGAATAATATGCGTTGCGTGTGCGCGTTCTGCCAGTTTCTGACGTAAATATTTTTCGAATGCAAAGGAAAAGGTATGTACGTCATGTGCTTTGGTTACTATTTTTCACAACATATACATCTCTCTCGTAGAAGATTGATTTCAGTAAAATAAAATTATGCTCTTAGAAAGTGGTCAAAATTCGACAACTGCAAATAGTCAGTCGAAACAATGTCGAATATGTTTGGATGATGATAATCCGAATGATATAATTAGTCCATGTTTATGTAGTGGTGGTTCGGCTTACATTCATAGAAAATGTTTAAATGAATGGCGATCGGAAAATGCAGGTGGAAGAGGTTTTAAATATTGCGATGTATGTAAATTTGAATATATTGTCGAATCGGTTTCAAGCGATGCCAAAGCTGAAAGGGAACGACTGTTGAAATATTATGTTTTTGTTATTCGTGATTCAACAGCAATTATTTTATTGGTTCAATTCGTTATTCTTGTTTTAGCATTTCTATTAAAATTTATGGACAGAAAGAGTGGAAACGTCAAAGATCTATTTCCAGAGTTAATTAAAGGATTTATGGTTTATTATTTAAGCGCTGTTATATTATTATTAGCTATTGTGGGTCTCATCACTATGATTATATTCTTTTGCGCTTCTCTCAGTAGAAGCTCTTCAACTGGCAATTGCAACACGAATGGTATGTGTGGCAGTGTAGTAGCTTTTATAATAGTATGTGCTCTTGTTGGCTTGATCGTTGGAGTAGTTGCAAGCGTAATCCTACTAAAAAAACTTATGAAACATCATGCAAGTCAACTATGGCTACGACAAGAAGCAGAAAAATATATTATTAAAGATTTTCAAGATCGAAGAAGCGAATTAGAACAATACAAAAAAAAAACGAATACAGATAATACTAATGAAACCTAAAAACAAAACATTTCGAAATAAATCTCATATTGTGTCGGATAATTATATTAAGAAAATATTTGATTTTTTCCTTGAAAAACAAAAGCACATTCTCCTTAGAATCTTTCGTTGCTTCTAATTCATATTGTATGCATCATCTATTTTTTTTCTTCTTAACTTCAATATGCATAACATCATTTCGTCGTCGAGTAAGAAGACAAAAAGAAAATCTATCGTGTCTATACATATGCATACTGATTGTTATTCTTGTTGGTCATCGGCACGTAATTTGTCTCAATTACTCATACTACATATGCTTCCTTTCGATAGAACGAAACAATTTTCGTCGATTTGTGTTAGAATAAGAAACATTTAAACTATTTGTAGGATAAGAACATGAGTAATGAACTAATTCTTATATCGTTGGTAATTCGACGAACAATACAAGTTTTTATTTTCTTCGAAATATGAAAGATTGAGATCTTTTTTTATTTTAGAGATATAACGAACGAGGTATAATTTATTCATAATGTTTAATATTAATATACAGAAAAAGACAGCGAGCCTTAATGAGATGAAGATGATTCGGATAATTTAAATTGCTGGCGATGTGCTGTTCGTGCGCGTGTTCGTCGATTTTTGAACCAAACCTATAAGATGTAATTCGTTTAGCATTTTTCTTCGAGCAAAAATTCACTGCGTACCTGAATTCGTGATTCCGGAACACCCATTTGAGCAGCAAGTGTTTCACGTAATTCAATATCGGGATATTGATTATGCATAAATACACTATCGAGTTGTTGAACATGAGTTTGTGTAAATACAGTTCGTTGCCGGCGACGACGACCTTGCGGTGGAACTATAGATAATAATCATAGAAAAAGAATTCAATTATTCGCTGTTTTATTTATAGAAAGAATTTTTCTGCAACGTCGACAATTTTTATTTATTCTTTACCCCAATTTATTTTATAGTCATAAGGAGGACAGATATTACTACTGTTTGAATCTCTTGATGGTGTAGACGATGAATTCGTACAAACAGGTAATGGCGATGAACATAGATCAAGTGTTGGACCCGATAATTGTTCAGCAGGCATTGTCATCGATGAATCGATTGCTAGAAAGTCAATTGAAAATTTTTTTTTCTACGCAAACGCTTCTCATATAATTTCACTTACTATTATAAACATTATTATTGCCAATTAATTGATCGTACATATGAAATGAATTATTTGAATACGGAATATGCGGATGATACGTATGTTGATAGGAATAATAAGCTGACGAAGATTGATGTGGGCTTAGAAATTCATGATTCAGCACTGGAGAACCATAGCCAGAATCGTCACGATGCAGTTGAACAAACGAAGATGAGTTCTCGTCCATTGCTGTTTGATATCTTCTATTGACGACTGTGTTCACCGGATAGTAATTTGAAATAAAACTAATGATAGATGAATTTTATTTTCTCTATTTAATATTCTTCAATTCAAGCCAATCAATAAAAGAGATATATCACCTTTTTTCTCCAACCAATCGAACGTCGAACGAAAAAAAAAAGACGAAGAAAAAAGTAAGAGTGAGAAAAAAGAGATCGTCGGTATGAGTGATGATGCTTGTGGAACAAGTTGAAAGAATATACCATTTGTTTTGCTTTTCGCAGATGTTACATTTCTTCGATATCTTTTCCGACTGTATCTTTCTTTTCTCTTACACAAACTAGCTTGAAGGTGTGCAACATCGTACCCGTTGGCTGTTATTACCACTTTGTGTTAACACACTGGAGAAAAAGAAAATGTGATAAAGAGCTATGCTCGTGATTATTGAGCATCATTGTTATGATAAGTTTGCTCTGAGACACACAATTGATATTATTGTTCGAGAAACAGTTTAATGATGTGTAAAATTAGGCGACATTTTTAGGAAAGATATATTTCTCAAGAAACAACAAATTTAACCTATCTCCTGCGTGTGTTTATTTCACATGAGTTTGTTGCGCTAGATGCACTAATTTAATGTCAAAGTAATTGAAATTATCTCAATTTTACATGCCGGCACTTTTTTCAATTTTTAATGTCTCTTAAAGCGTATCAAACTTTTTCTTTTGTATGTCAAGATAAAACTATCCCTATCGAATATATAGGACCGTAGCAATAACAGAATAAAAGTCTCTTTCAACAAATACAGTTTGTAGCCGGTTCAAATTGATCTGTTATTTGATATCAAATATAATCTTTGCAATTGGGCGTGTCCTAAAAGTCTATCAATCAATAAACATTTGAGTTCCAATTATACTGATCGATCGAGCCAAAAATGGTGATTATATTTCGTTTTACAGTGATTTAGTGAGTGTTCATATTTATTGAAATAGATTTTTAAAAATTTAGCCGTATCTTCTTGTGTCGCTGAGTTGAAAAGAGCGGTATGTTATCAATAGAAAAAGGCTTTACAATTAGTTATATGTATTGGCTTAAACGTTCTTTTGTTTTATGTATTCATTGGTTTGCGCAATTTTGTTGTAATTGAAATATATCGAACGGTGGCCATCAAGTACATGAACGATAGGCCTTATCTATGCGTGATATGTTCTTCTCGAAAGAAAAAATAAACAAATGACTATACAAAATCAATAGACATTCAGTTTTTCTATCATGATAAATCTAAGTATGTCATCTGACTATCATTCCATTACTTATGTAACACTAGTTTTTGTTTTTAATTCATTTCTACGAAAAATTTAGCTAAAACCAACATAAATAATAAATTTCAATCGTAAAATAATATTAATCCATTCTCGATAGACTTTCGTCCACCAGCTGCGATACTGCGGTCGATTTTCTCCTTTAAATTTGTACCATAGATCTTTTTCCCATGTTCGATTAAACCATTTTAATGCGTGATCGTTCGCTGCTGATCGTGTCATGTGATGTGAAATTAAATAATTTTCTAGTTCATGCGTTCGAGTTACACCAATACTAGAACAACATGATGGCACTACTAAACGAGCTATATTTCTTTCTGATGCATGACCATTCAACCAAATATCATCAACACGACGTATGTCGTTCGGAGCGCCGTTGAAATCAACATAAATATGAGAATCAAAGAATGACGGACGGATTACATAGGCACTATTTGCAGTAATAACACCAACACGATAGATTTCCGATAGCCGGAATGCTTCGACTACATGATAAGATAATTCTTCTGCGCCGGATACACCCCAAGTAAGATCTTCACGAACTAAAAATAGAGATAATTATTCGAGTGTTTGATATATTGAAATTAAGCGTATCCTATTCGAGACATGAAAAACTTCGCTCTTGTGTACTTATTCAATTCTTACTTCGCCATCCTCTTAGTCCAACAATACTATTCTTGTATTTATTCGAATATTTAAGTAAAACATCGATCGTATGAGGATGATAATAGTGATCATCGTCGCAAATCATAATTGCCTGTGATTTCAGCTCATTTGTTGGCAACAGATGAAATTCTTTTAGAATAGGTAAAAATTTTGTTGCTGGTCCATAATCTTCGTTTTCGAGCTGGATTCGTACTAATTTATCAAAGAGTTTAGCGATAACTATCGATGGATCGACTTTTTTTATGTGCAGCTTTAAACGACTCAATGTTAGATTGGTTTGATTGACGAAAGAAGATGTAGGAGATAAATAAAGTCGAATTTGTTTCGGCAATTTCGTTTGAGTCAATAGAGAATGAATAGTAAATGGTAACTCGCAGGGGAACCGTTTTGGAGTACTTGTCAACGAGATAATAATGTTTGCCGAAGAAGAACAACAAAAATTTAAAAGAATGACTAATATAGAATAGTAAAATAGAAGAAGAAATGTTGAAAAAATGAATACAGCAATACTCGTAGTAACAAGACGACGAATAGAATACCAACGTCGTATTCTAAGCAGTAACCGACGGCAGGATGCAAATATAAAATACTTAATTAATTTCATTGCACTTTATTTCAACAAAATGCAATAGGATATATTCATATTTATTTAATTGCACATCCACGAGTAATAAACAGGCGTTGGAATGAAGTTCTGACAAATAAACTACCTTCGTGCAACATAAAAACAAGAGCAAACATAGGGCACAAAAAAAGACCAAGGCGTCAGGTGGCGTATATATTAAATAAGAAAAAACGTGAGATAAAAAAGAATAAGACAAAACGTGAGAGAAAAAAAGAATAAGACAAAACGTGAGAGAAAAAAAGAATAAGAGAAACTTAACGTTCTGTTCCATTTCGTCATAAAAAGATAAGAGCTTTATGGTTTGAACTATTTATTATCAATAGAATTCTTTTCATAAACGTACACACTTTTCTTGTATGATTATTCTAGCAAATAAAATGTCAGTCCTTGATGAATGAACAGGTGGATATTTTTGATAAGACTAGTTATACACTGAATATATATATACAGTATACCCATGGCGTAAAAAATTGAAGGAAACGGGCCACGTAACGCGTTTCTTCAAGACAAAATGCCTTTCGCAGCATTTTATTGCGACAGAATGCGTTTCGCTACGTTGATTTTTCGAAGTAATCCGAAAAGTTTATTTTCTACATTGCGTTTCGAACCGTTTTTGAATTGAAACGCTGTGAAACGCACTTCAGCCCGCAGACAACGCGTTTTGCATCCATCCTGCTACAGCAATTTCCATATGCAACGCATGTGAGTTAAGCAAAAATGAATTCCTTTCCATTATTTTGGAAACGATGTGAAATGATTTATAGAAGGTTTGCTAGTCGAATGGTTTTAAAACACGAACAGCGCGATGCAAATCTTCTGTATGCAATATCAGAATCGCAGTCTTCTCAAACCTAATGATTTTAAGTCGTTCTATAAAGCAAAATTCGAACGTAGACTATTGCTGAGCACCAGAGTATAACAAGAGTACTTGCTTTCCCTTAGAAAAATCATTTTGCTGGGCTTTCACCGAAATAAAATACATTTCGTAGCGTTCAATGAAGAGCTGCTTTCAATATTGAGCAGTGGGAGGATATTCAGTAACGGATAATACAAAGATAATACTTATGACGCTGCTTTGTTTTGTTGGCGTGTGAAAAAAAGAATTTTCGTGTAATCTAAGATTTTAATAATAATTATTGTGAATCATATATAGATTACCCGATACTGACCAATGATACTACCTATGAAGCGACTAAAATATGATTTTGGTTCGTATGATATTGATGTAACTGGGCTTTGATGACAGAAGCAACTTTCTTTCACTTATCAATGTTATTGAGTTGAAGGATGCTGAATTCATAGTCACAAAAATTCAATAAATCAGAAAACAAAACGCAAACATTTTTAAGTTTAATTCTTCTCAATTCATATTTGATGCATTCAATGTTTTTAAATATTAAATCCAATTTAGATCCGATTAAATTTGTTTCAATGAGGTGTCCCTAATCCACTCTCCTCCGACGACTCCCCGCACAATAACGAAATCCCTAGGGACTCCCTGGGGATTCTTCGAGGGAGAATTGACTAGGGTGTACTCAAATTTAAATTTCAAAGAATGTAAAAATAAAGTAAATCAAGGGGAATATGACAACAATAATTGGATTTAAGTATCAAGGAAGTGATCATTTTTAATTTATCAATATGAGAAATCGAAAATCTATTTCAATAAAAATTTTATGCGAGAGTCAGAATAACGAGACAATAAATAGAGATATTATTTGACTATTTTAGTTGAACGGTTTGTGTACATGTCTTTTAGTATTTTGTTCTCGTGTTCGAATCCATCTCTTAACTTTATCGAAGTTCATGTAAATTATAGATAGCTCTAGAGTTCTATGAATCAATGCAAACGAGTATATGGATTGTATATACAACTCAAGTTCCATGAAGTACTTGATGGCTTTCAATTTTTTTCATCCAAAATATACGATACCACAGTTTCGGAAACAGTACAGAACAAGCTGTCTAATTAATTTTTCGCTACTGCTAATCAAACACATAGCTAATTCTTTTCATCGTAACATACAATTGTGAGTCAGTATATGCTCTTTCTTTGCTCGAAAGATCAGATCATTTGTTAGAAGACTGCTATTTCTGCATGTCTCTGGGTCATCGGTTCCAAATGAATGATTATTCGTATGTCATTTTCATTTAGTAGAATATTCTTTTATGAAGCTTGTAAGTAATAATGCTCAATTAAAGGCAAAGCTTCTATCAAAATTTCAACTCGATAATTTTTCTTCACATCAATGGTCATAGTAAAATGATCACAGCTCAGAAAGGGTTGATGAGCATGAATGAAATTAACAGCATAGATAGCCAGAATGGACCATTAAACAATACAGAGTCGGCTGATCCACAATGCCTTTCTTTTTCAAAGATATGAAATTCAAAGGATAAATGGCTACTATCCATTACCATACGTCATAGTGCTAGTGTCTCTGATCTACATTCTTGGTGGAGTATGTATGCATAAGGTTTTGAGGTCTCCAGTATGTGTAAGTGCAGAGATCTTAGTGGAGGAAAACTTTTGTCCGCTACTGCATATGACGTACACCTGCTATTTTATTTCTGCTTCAATGGTTTTCTATGAGAAAAAGGACGACTCAGCTGATCACATTTATGCTAATTCTTTAATTTCTACCAACCGTGAATGCGATATACAAACCTTTCAGAATTGTGTGTATTTTACTAATCAATGCAAACAACAGTGCAAATCTCTGGTTGATATGTTTGAACACTGGCAATGTTAGAAAAATCTTCAGCTTGAAAAGCAAAGTTATAGGTAGGCTAGACTCAGTTTCCATTACACGAGTTTCTTTCTCAAAACTGACTTAAATTTAATTGGGATATTAACGAAATGCGAAGTGACCACTATTTCTGCCGCATCCGTTTACTGCACGCCCACACCCTGATTATAAGTAATTTATGATGTGAAAAAAATATCTTTATTTAAAAAAAGGGAAAATGCTTTATAATACACATGTATATGTATTGAAGCGATTTTCATTTGTACAATGAAACACATATGTATGTATGCAATATAGAAATGCGAAATTATACAACTTCAAAATCATCGTCAGAATCCAATGTTAGAACTAGAAGAAAAAAAAAATACAAAGATTTTATTTTTCTTATTGTAATATCCTTACCGCCATGGTGCGCTACTTCTTGACCACGCATATCAAAAGGATTGGATTGACAGATTTCAAACATGGGCTTTGACGGAAGATTCTAAATAGAGATAACTTAAAAACAAAATATTCATTTTTTCTCCTTACTTTTTTTAATTTTGTTATTAAATCCTCAAATTCAGCTTCGGTTTTACACGCAAACCCCTATGAAACAACACAGTTAAAATAGTGTAAATTGCACAAAAATAATATTACCAAAGCAAGGGATGGGTCAAGACCGGAAAATTTCATTCTATTAATTCGACCACAATGGTAAGACATATCATCAGCAGTTGAAGTTGTATCAACATGTGGCTGTGTTACATGTGGATCAAGATAAAGAAGTTCATCAGTTTCTAAATTTTAAAATACAGATAAAAATTTTAAAAAGTTCTTTTTCACTACCTGAATAGCCGATGAAATAATGCGCATGGCTTGGTTTACCACCTATACAACCAAGTGTTTGGGGCAATCGAAAGCAAAGCTTAAAGAAGAAAACAACATATGCATTAAATTGCCTTTTAGCTGGTTGTTAAGAGTTCATTGAAGTTAATCTGGCCGACGCCTAGATTTGTTTTTAGAGGTCATGTCGCTTGCTTTATATTCTAATCAATAATACGTATAAAACCATAGAATATCCAATTATGTAGATAGAGGGTTTTAGACCCAATGAGAGAATATATTAACCTAATCACCCAAAAATCTCATATTTAACTAACACATACTCTACTATTCGTAATATTTTATTAATTTGCTTTTCTCGTACTTGTTCTTTTAATCGTCTTCATATGTTCTTGAGATCAATTCTTATGATGAAAAAGCGAATATACTCTCTATTCATATGCCGTTTGCAAGAATGCCCAAGGATGACAGAAAAACATACGGTTGAGGATTTATTTTCTCTCTTGATATCAACTAATACTGTTTTGCAATCTATGGCAAAAAGCTGTTGAATAAAGGAACATGCATTGCTATCTTCACAATTACGATTTCTATCCCGCTGAGTTCAATACCTTCAGTTGATCAATATACTCCGTATTAACACTCGTCAAACCTAATCGTAATGGAATAATTATGATTAATGGTTTCCAGCCTGCTGGTTTATCATTCGAATTTTTTGTTGTTTTACGAGCTTTTGAATGAGTTTGGAATAGTTTACCTGAAAAAAAAACATTATAATAATAATCTCTTATGAATTTGTTCTAAAATAAAACTAACGTATTTCATCAAGTACAAGTGTATTATCCATTGCAACATGTACATTAATTGGTCTTTCGAATTCATTAGAAGCAATACGCCTGCAAATGCATAATTAATTTATCAGTCATTGCTTGCGAATCTTTACCTAAGCACTTGAGCAATGGTGTTGGGACCGAACCATTGTCCGATTTCTTTACCTTCAGAATTGCCCATTTGTACTAGAATAAATAATATTATTGATTTTGAAACGAATTCATTTCAATCATTGCTTATTTCTACAAACCTATTTGCTGAATGGAATATGATGAATGACGTTTATCAATAAACATATTCAGTATATCCCAATAGCTTGCATCAACCACAGGTGGACGCCATCGAAAATCTATTACAATGAAATGAATTAATAACTTGAGATACGTTAGTTTTTAGTTTGACATACATCTTCCTGCTGGTAGAAAAAATCTTACATAACCTTCAGCTAACATCATTTGACCACAGCGCATCATACAACCCCATCCCGTATCTTTAGTTGGACCTGATGGACCACCTGAGTGTAAAATGATAGATGTTTGAATAAATATTTTTGTTAGAATTGAACTCACCAATCGGTGCAAATCCAGTTCGATATGTAAACCAAAATTTACTAGCGATATCATCAAGTATTGCGTATGAATCTATTTTAATGCATGAATAATAATAAGAAAAAAACATTGTTTTTATTATTTACCATTAGGAGTTTTGTACTCAATTCCAAGGATATGAAGAATAGTTTCTGTATCAGGTAAATTATCCATATCAGAATTGTTTCCTTCGAACATGGACGCGGCTAAACTAAGAGCTAAAATATATTTAAAAAAACGTTTTCTTTTAAATCATCATTAATGCATTGGTTCTTCTAACCCGCACTATTCATTGTTGAAATCTAGTATATTAACATAAATAAATGTATAGATAAATAACACCGTCAAATAAATGAAACAGGATCAGCTGGTATTTAAATGTAAATCTTTATTGGCTAAATTAATTGGCCAATAGGAAAGCAATAAACTCACCTTGAAAGAAACTCGCATCCCAAATATGAAATGAAATCGTATTCAGAGCACTAGAGGACGCTACTATTAAATAGAATCAAATCATTTACTTTCTTCTTCGTAGTTCGTACGACCACCACAATATTGCTTTTGAAAACATCAACAGATATTTTGTCTTCGCACTGAAAATGTTATTCTTCAACAATAATAGTAAAAGAGAAAAAAAACTTGATATTTATTAATAATTAAATGAATGACTAGTAAGTATTTAAAACAGAACAAAAAGCTTTAAGCTAAAATAAAAAGAATTTCACCATCATTTGTTTCTCCGATTATTTTCGGATATTCATTTTCAATTTTCAATTTTCTTGAATCCATTGACGACAATGTTGATGGCGTGTATTCATCTTTGTCAATAATAAAAATCGATTGATTCGAATAGGCATCTTTTTCACTACGTTTTGGATTGCGAAATAAATACCATGTCAACGATAAAAGGACAATAAAAACAAAACTTATTAATACAATCAATATGCATAGTAATTCATTGAAATGATTAACAGCTAATGCTTTCGAATATAAACAACGTTGAGAATCGATTGTACAATTTTTTGTTATATCAATACAATATTGTTTATCTTGTTGAAGTCTTACAGGTTTGGTGCCCGATCGACATTGACATGTTTTTTCATAACAAATCGATGTGCGTCGATTACACGAAGAACAATCGGATAATGTTGAACTTTCATACTCAATACGAAATGAAAAGATTTCATTTGGTTTTAATTTATAAATTGTTGAATGAAGTTTAAATGAACAATTGGATAATATAAGATGATATTCGCCCATGTAAATTACTGGAACATTATTCATCGACAGTATTGTTCGTAAATTTAGATTTGTTCTTGTTGATTCGAAATTTTTCTTGAGATAAAAATTTGTTACTGTTGATGAACATTGTGTAAACGGAAGATAGGTTTGCGCGGAGATATTTTTCGATGATTGGCATTGCACAAAAAATGGTATTACAGCTACTGAATGCGACGAATAATTGTTAATATGACCAGGTATCGACGATTTATTTGACGATAAAGAATACACAGCTTGAATATGTAATGTACGAGAATCATTGGATGAGCCAATTAGATTTAAATATTGTTTATAGAGATCTATGGAATATGTACAATTTTCCAAATAAACGATCTTAGTCGATGCTTGAGTTAGGCTCAGTCCCATAACAAGGACATATATGTGTATGTAAATCATTTCTTTCTGAAATAAAATAAACGATAAATAAAGAAAGTATTTCTTACATCGCCGAAAGCTGATAATAATAACAATGTTCATTCAATCGATTTTTGTCTATGTATTCTATATACATACTATGAACGCATGCATGCATGCACACACAACATTCAAACAATCATACGAGCAATTCTCTCCACTTGAATTTAACCATATACTATTCGTACGCTAAGCTATAGTCTGACAAAATCGATTGTTAAAGAACAGAACAATCGACAATACAATGAAAAGGATATTATTATTGTTTAATTTCCATGGTTCGTCGGGCAACTGACCTTTTTCCATCTCGTAATGACGAAAAAACAACAAACACAAGTCTACATACGTTTAGACGGCTAATACACATTGAACGTTTCCATCCATCTATTTATAAAAAGCTTATAAATGATAGACTAATGTAAGACAGCTTGCAGGCATTGAAGGGAGCAACATAAAAAAAAACGCTTGTCTGTATGAATGTCTATGTTTAATCTCTCGTTCGCGTCGTGATCATGAGCATGTGTACATATGGCACCGGGAATGGACAACACAAAAAAATTCGACTACTTTTTTTTCTTCTCCTTGTTGTGTCTCTGCATGTGTATATATGTTCATTGCGCCAATGAATGATTTCACACTCCTAGAAAACATGTATATTAGTAGCAAAATCGATGTAATTTAAGTTGATGATGATGACGGACATGTAAAAAAGACTATACATATAGTAAATCGATGAATTGTGAAATGAACTATATAGAAAAGTAATTAAAAAAAGAGAAATGAAATAAGATTGATTAAACGACAATAGAAAGAGGGAAAAAATGGAGGTGAATAATGAATTGTCAGTAGACCTGTTGACAGTTGAATGATTGAAAGTGAGGAGGAGAACTCTTGGGCATCATCTGTTTTGGGACTATTTCAATGGCTATTGATCATTGTCTAAATAGTCCAAAGCAATTGAACGCACAGCAACAAGAAACAAAAAAGAGAAAAGTTTAATATTTTATACAAAATGAATTAATGAATAGGAAAAATTTCATTGCTATTTTTCTAAGAAAGTTAATGTATGTATGAACAATAACGAATGATTCGATTGATTGCCCACATGCTTTTCTTTGTGTTTTTGATGTCAGCAAAAATCAATAGGCGTTTTTTTAGAGAAGAAGATTAAACAGAATAGGTGCTTGTCAATGAGAGGCATTCGATTTGTAATTTTTCATTATCTATTGTCATTCAAATTGAACACTTTATCTCTTGAGGCCAAATAGATTAATTTGTTATTCAACGCGATGCGCACATCTTTAGAACAACAATTTATATTGGCTGTCAATACTAAAGATTTACGTATCATTAATTATTTGAATGACGAAGATAACCAGTCAGACTATACATACGTCCAGGCGGGCATTAGAGGGAAAAAAACGGAAGTTACACTCTAAGTGATTTAAATAGACATCAATACTTTTTATGTTCCTGGGCATAAAAGTTTTTATTACAAATTTCTTGCGGAGTAGACTCTTTATTTTTCTCATAAATTGCCTAGCTCGACTTCGAAATGATTCGATGACGTTTATTTCATATTAATTTTTCAGAGGCGCGCAGAAAGTAGGTCAAATCAAAAAGAGAATAGAAATTTGAACTATTAAAATTTTCTTTCGCACGATCGTCTTATATAGCAATTGAAACATTCATTGTAACAAAACACTTGAATTTTATGTTATATTATACTAAGAATATTTAAAAAAGCTTCGTTTCTACAAATAAACCTTCATGAAAATTATTATAAAAAAAAAGAAAAAAAGGATAGTTGGCAATATTTTCATTACGATTACTGATGAGATATTTTTTTTTATCTGCAGTCGTTAGGGTGCGTACGGTGAAACAAAGATCTATTGAAAAATTTTTCACATTTTTTTGAGAGACTAACATCTTGATAAATTAAATCCAAGTTCGATTGTTTTGTATCGTTATTCATCAATGAAGTTATTGCCTTTGATATTCCATGTCCGCTGGCAATTAATGAAGAACATCGATTTAATTTGAGCGGATTTTTATCAAGTGTTTTCAATTGTGAATCACTGTTATCGATTGAACTAAACGATGGATCAGATTTCACGATTGAATGTGTTTCATTTTGTTTGATAAGATGCAAATGATTCTGTTCGATATCCAATGAATTTAATATTCGATTGAATTGCTTTTCATTGATTAGAAATAAATTTGGGTTTGAACGTAATGGTGAAAATCCATAAATATCAAATGTTTTTTTATCTATACATAATTTGTGACAAAATCGAAAACCTTGACGATTAAATTCCGATATTACTGAACGGTGTTGTTTAATTAAATAAACGGCAAGTTTTTTTTGATAGAACAAATATTGTTTTAGCCGATGTAATTCATCTGGAGTCGAGTTAAGTTTGAAATGAGAATAAAGATTTTTTGTGCAGTAAGGTATATACAATGAATCAGGTCCTTTAGACATTTTGAATAGAGAAAGAGTTAAAATAACAAACGATCTTAGAAATTATTTGAAGTATGCTGCCATAGTGATCGTGAAAAAAATTCTTTTTTTTTTGATTTAGAAACATTTTCTTATGCATCGTTGTTCACCTGTTGTTGTCCATCGACGACATAAACATCGGCCTGTACAACATTGTTCGTCATGCGAACATATTGTTGGCGATAGTCGACAGGCTTCACCTGCGAAAAGTCCGTCGGAACCGCGCTTTTGCTGCAATAGAGTATAATGAAATACATCGGAATCGTACGATGTTTGACGATTTATAAAACGATTTACACCACGTTTAAAAGCTGTTCGTACGATATCTGTAATACCAGTAGCTAGATGAAAAATAAGCGCATTTTTGTTTTGTTAATAAATAAAATATTCAAAAGTTACTATAAGTTCGCAGTTTAGCGGCATCGGTTTTCTGGAGTAAAATATTAATACACAGTACAGAGAATATTACATTCAAAAAGAACAGTCGATGCATTGTATAGCGCGTGAAATGTTAACCTTTCTTTTGTAAATGAAAGCAAACTTTGATTTTCTTTTAATGCCTGCTGCACCTATACTGATTCCTTTTTTTCTGCAGTTCAAAATCACGATCACAGTCGGCTATCTATAATGAAAAGAAAAGTTGAATCACAGGTGCCTGAAAAAAAGAAAGAAAGATAAGAACTGTTTACTGTTTCTATATTAATTTATTGTACTATTTTCTGCTATTTATAGAGTGCGTATAACGTAAATGTTTTAGAACAAATAGAAAAAAATGCAACCGGAATGTGAAGCAATAAAAATCTGATTATTATGCTGACACTCATAAATCGTTTACATTACGTGTATTCGGAGAAACCGTCGCACTAGTACGTACACGGTATGAGAATAATTATACCTTCGGTAGTCGTTGAAAGTTCAGTCATAAAAAAGAAATAGAGAAAGAAAGAGTTATGACTAACTAGTGTTCTTTTTTCTCTTTCTTCTAGGCCTAGAGTATGTAAAAAGAAAATTATTCTTGCACTCATTTTATAAATTATAATAAATGGGGTGTACGTTTCTGGCATCGCAAGTGGCAGAATGGCAAATGTTTTCATTCGTCAAAAATCTCAGAAGAGGCACTCGTGCATGTTACAGTAAAGAACAGAGGTTTACACTGGTTTGCATGTCTCAATGAGAAGAATGTCAAAAATAGAACAATTTTTCTAATGTTTATCTGGCTGTGCGACATTATCGAGAAATCATTTTTTTGTTAACCCGCACGCATGACAAATTAACTTATATTCAAACTTCTTTTGTTTTTGAATCGTATAAATTAGTACAAGATTTAAGAATTAAAAGATCCATATCAGAGCTCTGCGTGTGACGGGATGGGACGAACACTTTTAGAAAATTTGTAGCAGACAAGAATGAATCGAAGTCTCTTTCGACGTGATTCTATTATATGTTTACTATCTTGATCCATTAAAATTATATTTATTGACGTAAGTGACCGCTTTCAAATTTGATTCTTCTATTTTAAAACATTTTCGGTATATGTTGTTCAATTTACCAATACTATTTTTAAATAAATGAGGAAACATTGGATTCGCATCCGATTGTTATGTGTACTGCAAAAACTGAGTCGATTTATATATGTTGTGAATAATTCTAAGAAAAAAAATTTTCTTTTTTGAAAAGATCCCGGTGGGGGGGGGGGGGGGGGGGGGG